TTTTTTTTTTACATAAAATAAACAAATTACAATTCATATTACATTGGCAGTGTTTATTGAAATTAACAATAAATGAATGAAATGTAAAACAATACTTTATGGGAAAATCAAAATTTGGAAAGTAAATGTAATTTCCGGAACAAAGTGCCATCTACTTCCTGGTAATTCGGCGGTAAGAAAGCGCGGGTATCGTTACCAGTGTAGTGCCACTTTTAATTGTTGGTACACTCATCAATTGCGTGACCAGAAATTGAGAAAAATTAGTAAAAATGTTTGAAGCACGTTTAGTACAGAGTGCGATTTTGAAAAAGGTGTTAGATGCAATAAAAGATCTTTTAACTGAAGCCACCTTCGAATGTTCTGATTCGGGTATCCAAGTACAAGCTATGGACAATGCTCATGTCTCTTTAGTTTCTCTTAATCTTAGAAGTGATGGTTTTGATAAATACAGATGCGATAGAAATTTATCAATGGGCATGAGCATTGCGTGGTAAGATAATTTCAATGTAAAATATATGAAGGTTATGTTTTCTTTTTTTTATAATAGAATAAAAAATAGATACTTTTAAACAAAAGAAGTATTTGTTTTAAATTCTATCTTTTGATAAGAACAAAGTGTTTTATGTTCTTATGTTTACATAACAAAATGAAGTTATATTAACTTTAAATAATAAATGAAAATTAACAAAATGTTTTTAGCATGTCCAAAATTCTACGATGTGCTGGTTCAGAAGACACAGTAACATTGCGAGCAGTGGATAATCCAGAAAATATTACATTTATATTTGAATCACCAAATAAAGAAAAACTTGCAGAATATGAAATGAAACTTATAAATATGGACCAAGAACATCTTGGTATTCCTGTAAGATTCTATATATATTATTATTATATATAGGACTCATTTTATAAAGAATATAATTACAGAATTTATTAGTATTAATAATATTATAATACATTATTATATATAGAACTTATTCTTAAAAGAATACAATTATAGAATTTATTAATTATTATAGGAAACCTCATATTCATGTGTTGTAAAAATGCCATCTCAAGAATTTTCACGTATTTGTAGAGATTTAAGCCAATTTGGAGAATCAATAACATTTGCATGTTCTAAAGAAGGTATAAAGTTTAGTGCTTCTGGAGATTATGGACAAGGTACAGTAAATTTTTTTATGCAGTAAAAGAGAATACAGGAAGGACTGTATTAGTTTAATTTAATATGTTAATTATATAATACTTACATTAATTAAATAATATTTGTTGTGAGCCCGTAGCATCTTGTAGTTCATATACTATTCAAACACAGGAATTACAGTAACTGCCTGAAATTATGTACTAAAATGTTCTGAAAAATATTAATTTGTTTGACCTTCATTGTTATGAAGAATAGGTCATACATACGTTTATGTATATGTTTGTTTATATTTATATACTTAAAGGAAATATTCCTTCCTGTACTAAAATTCATTAAAATACAAATGAATTATGAAAAATGTATATTGCAAAATGTAAAAATATATACAATTAATTGTTATAAATTACAGTTGCACTCATGTAAATTATTTTTTTACAGCCACTGTTAAATTAGCACAAACAGCAGATGCAGATAATGAAGAAGAAGCAGTGGTTGTTAATATGCAAGAACCAGTAAAACTAACATTTTCATGTCGTTATCTTAATTGTTTTATAAAGGCTGGGCCTTTGTGTGCACAAGTACAACTATCAATGTCTAATGATGTGCCTTTAGTATGTGAATACAAAATTGGAGATATTGGGCATATTAGATATTATTTGGCACCAAAAATTGATGATGACGAAGAAAATTAAATTTTTGAACACTTTCAGATTCTTAAATGTCTGTTTTAGTGTATAAACTATAACATCATCAATACAATGTATTATAGCATTGCTTTAACTTCATGTGTTTCGATTTTTAGTTTTATATTTATCATATTGTTAAAGATTAAGTATTTTCAAGATTTTACTAAAAACAGAATAATAGTATTATTTAGATAAAAAAAGGTATATTTTGATATTCATTATTGAGGAACGATTAAGGATAATTAAAAATACTTTGAAGGTCGTATATTTAAATTTTACATTTAAAAGTCATTTGGCTCGTCACAGTGTTAGCGCAACGTAGAATTGACACTAAGATTCATAATAGAGTGACACGATCATGATTAACATGGTAAAGTGGTGTCAATCTTATAAGATTCATATTGTTACCGTCTCATAAACTGTGACAATATTTTGATAATGTTGCATTTTTTATATGTAAGAAGAACTCAATATATTTCCAAAACATTTGATAAATTTTGAATTATGTGTTATTTCTTATATCCTAGCCTAATTGAAATTCAAAATTTTCCTTATTTTTAATTATCTTATTTCTTATACCTTTTGTGTATAAGCTAGTTTAATATAAAAATACATAATTAGTTTACGAGCTGAGGGAATAAGTGGGCTACCGTGGATGGAATAGCCTAGAAGTATACAGTTAAATCTTACATAATTTGGATTTTATATAGTTACTAAATAATTATATATTAATCAATAGATGTGATTTATACTATGAATTATTTTACACGCACATACTGCGAAGACCTGTATATCGTTAATCCTTATTCTTACACGTTTAAATGAAATTTGTAATCAAAATAAATATTTTTCATATCTTGTTCTATATTCAAAAAAACGAATTTAAATAGCAACGAAACGAGACACTTTGGCAATAGTAATCAGCCTCTTTGGTTTTAAAGCCCTGGTATTGCTTTTGTGTTTTTAACATAATAGTTTCACATTTAAAATTAAAACAATTATTTTTATACATAATAAAATTGATGAAAAAGATGCATTCACATTAATACAAAAAAAGAATACTGAAGTTATCCTTATTTAAGGTGTAATAAAACTAATCAAGCTGTTAATACCTACTCATTTTCAAAGAAGATGTCACGCGTATCGATAATATTTAATTATTTGGACCAATTTGACTTGTTTATACGGGATTATCAATGCACATACTGTTCCTTCAGTCTATAAATATAATTTTAAAAAGTATAAGATGATATCGCGTGACATTTACCCTGTAAATGAAATATTAAGAAGAAAAAGAACATATACAATTGAAAAATTATATAAGGGCTTAAGTATTCGCGTTGCCATTACTCCCATATAGGCTGGGATGTACATATTTGTCATGCAATGTCCTTAAATGCCTTAGTAAATTACTTTTTACGTTAAAGCCTTTTTTACAATAGGAACAAAGAAAAGGCTTTTCCCCTGTATGCGTTCTTTGGTGAATTACCATCGATGCATGGCTTGGAAATTCTTTTTGACAAATGTTGCATAATTTTTGATGACTGTGAACCCTTTTTGGTTTAGGAGGTGCGGAATTATTCATCAGAGCTAATTGTTCTTCTGTGTGTTCCGTTTGTATATGGCGTACCCATTCCTGCGGTGTTGAATACATATTACCACAAAGATCACATTTCAAAGGAGGAAAATCCTTACTGTCATCATCCACATCGCCCTATGGTGAAAAACATGCACATAATGATCTCATTTAACATCCAAAAGATATTAAATAATATTTATGTTCTTACCTTCCTCTTTTTTCTTCGATTCTCAGTCATATCAGCATGTGTAAATTCAATGTGTCTCACCCAGTCTGATGGCCGATTAAATGTTTGACTGCACATGTCGCATGTTAACGGGCTATATTCTTCCTCCTCATCTGCGCTATGTACGATTTCCTGTAACGAATAATATGATACGATATTAAAAAGAACTTTTTACGCACATCACTTGAGACGATGTTTTTGTCTTGTACGTACAAATACTACGTACCGGTTTTATATCGATCTCGTGGTCTATCGTTAATGACTCCGATGGATCAATAGTTTCCTCCCAAATTGGTTCGTCTTTTACTAAAAGTTCCAGGTTCAATTCGGTCTGAAACATGGGACAAAATGAGAATATTTTATTCTATTTGATAAATTCCATCAGATAAGATTATCTTACGTTTTCACCATCCTCGCTTTTAGATTTGTTAGACTCCACATCACTGTTAGTGGTTTTTCTTTTTTTCCCATTGGTTTCCACATTTTCCTTATTCTTGTTCTGTTCGTTATTTTTATTTTCCTCCAAAATTTTCTTGGACTCTGGTTCGCTAATCTTCTCTTCAATTTTTTCAATACTCTTTCTCTCTGAGGTAGGTTTCTGAGGTTGAACGTTATTTTGCATCGGCGTGGTCTGTTGCGTATTCTCGACGATTTTCTCCATACTTGGTTGAACCAGTTTGATTTTTTGAATTTGACCGGTTAAAGGTGGCTGCTCCCGCTTATCTCGCTCCACCTTCTGATTATTCGACTGTATATTCTCCTTTTTGCTTCCGGTATTAGATCTCCATAAACCTCGTACGCGCAGTATATCACCCGCTTTTAATACACCTTCTAATTGATCATTTGTCACCGTGGCTTCGCCGCTGTACATGTATTGAATTAGAATTTTTAATGTGCGATATCCAATTTCTGTTGGTAATACCTGTAACATAATATTACACTATTGATTTATCTCGTATGATTTATCTATTGAAAGGCCAATAATGGGACGAGGAAAGATATGTACGAACCACAATTATTGGAGCGTTTGTGTTTGCACCAAAGTGGCATGTTTGAAAAATATGACTGAGATACGATGAACAAGCGGCAAGGACAAATCGATGAGCCGCCACGTGCCGGCCGCAGGATGTTGCTAACAAAACATCTGCGAAGGATTCTGAATGGAGTAACGTCGCGACAGAGCTGTGCAGATGCGCGCCATAGCTGTGCCATTTAAGTTGATAATTCTCCGAAGCAGCGATGGCCATCTTTTCTATATCGTTGACAAACACGGAAAAAAGCATTTCGTTACAGACTTTATAGTGAACAATGCCTAATGATACATATATATTTTATTGTTGTATTTATTAAGCCTGTTGCGTCAACCGCGTTTCGCTTATATTAGTGCAATTTCTGTGTCCCCGTGTGTTCACCGGGGAATTTTGTAAAACAATATGCAATGAAACATTACTAGACATTTCAAGAAGATAACATAAATTTGTTTCATTTAGAATTTAATAATTGATAGTTTGATTTTGATAATTTTACAAAAATATGATTATGTGCAAAAATTTTAGAAAATATATTACTTCCTTCTCTAATATTTCCATATTTTCCTTCGAATAGTAAACAAATGATCGTTATTTCGCAATAATTATCCACGATTATTTTATTACTAACGTTATATTCGAATATCAGAACAAGTGCACAATAAACGTCAAAGGCATTTTGTCTGTAAATTTCTTTTCTTTCGATCGAACACGGATCTCGCGGCGTCGAATGTTTCCCAATATATTTGTTTCCGTTGCTAAAATCACAGGAAGGAGCATCACGGAGAAAATGTTATGATACAGATTATGGCTCGATTTCGATGCAATGTTAAACGAATTCGAACGGAACACCGGAATGGTAATGAAATAATTACGCACTCTGCTCGGCACCCCACATTCACACCCTCTGAATCCTCGTTAACGTTCAACGATCGTGCACGTTGTACACAATAATGCCTTTGGGAGAAAAAGAATCCTGTTCGACGCGGGACGAGACGTTTCGTTCGACTCGAAATCAATGACTTCAGATCGTTTCCGTAGCGAGGATCATTGATTGCTCAGCGCGTAAACGATTGCATGATATTGCCGCTCGTCGCACGAACGTCGAAGCACAGAGAACAAAAAAAATCTCAGCTGCGTTTCACCAGCGCGTCGTTACGTTGTCAACGTGGTTACCTGACGACATTGGCCAGAACTTCGCTACGCGTCACCCGGCTTCACCTCTCTCCTGTTTCTCTTATTTTAATTGTAACACGATAATCTTCAAGATCTGCGCCACCACACAGTGTGTCTCGCACGCGTCGTTGGTGTTTTGAAAGGCGCTTCGCGCGGATACGGGACACGGGGCAGATATGAGCATCGAACCGCCGCGTAGGGACCTAAAAATCGATATTTCGGTCTTTGCTCCATCCTCTCCGGCGGTGCAGCCGTGCTCGCTTTCGCGGCTAGGTAGGGTGCCCCCCTGTTCATCATCGATTTTCCCGGCTACCAATCGCACGCATCCATTTATCGCATCGATCGCCCGAGCTGATTTCAGCGTTTGCGTCCGTCCGTCCATCCGCCAGCTCCACGATTCATACCCGTGCACCCCGCCGCACCCGCACCCCTTTCCCCGCACCCTGCCTTATAACCTATCCTCTGTTCAACCTCCCACCCCGACAACCACCTCGCCAGCTACATACTACCTTAAGCCGTATAGACGCGACTAAATGCGACCCTTCACGATCCTTTTCGTCAGCGACGCCGGACACCACGATATCCCTTGGCTTGCGTTTATCCACGATGCCTCAATGTTGATTCTATTGCCTGTTGATATCCCTTAGGCGCTCCCTCTCTCTCTCTCTCTCTCTCTTTCCCTCTCTCTCTCTCTCTCTCCCTCTCTCTTGGCTCGTTTCTTGCCACACGATCTTTTTACCTTATTCGGTTAATGCATTCTTGATCGGCAAATTTTTGAACATTTTCAGCGTGTTAAAAACAGTTAACCACGAGTTAACTCGTAACCGATCAATAACGTGTTAGTGTATTTAATGCTCGTTACAGATCGCAGCGTACCGATCACGTTAAAACGTACAGGATTAAAAAGTCACTTGTCGTCTTTAGCGATGCATTGCGTATATTGATTTTTCAAATTTGCGTAATGGTTTTACGACGTCTGGCATCGGCAGTCTAGGGTTCGGCCAAATGTGACTGGTGCAATCTTTGTCGTGGCTCAATTTGTTTAATTTAAAAGTACGTTATTATTTGTCGAGACAGATGACATTTTTTTTTTTCTACGAAAAAACTTAAATTCAAATGGCTGAACTTAAATTCAAGAGAGATACACGTTATTAAACGGAGCACGCTTACCTATTGTATGCTATGTTGTACACTATGTCATTATATCGTTCGACGATCGCTTTTTTCTCTTAAAAATATACGTTATTATTTAATATTATAGTAATGTAAACATTATCGAATAAAATACAAAGATGTTTCCTCAAATCTTCTTGTAAATAGTTCATTTAATTTGAAATACTTGATCCATAGATCTCTATGTGGCAATATTATAGGGTTAATTTGTGCAGTAAAATTTTAGGATCGCCGATAATCTGTTCCTAAACATACCTGAAGATGGCGTTCATAGTGGGATTCTTCGATTTTCAAGATTTTGTTTGAATGTGTGCACGTGTATATGTGACGATGTACTGCATTGCGTCGACGACCCATTTTGCAATATAGAAGCGATAAGTTGCACACCCTCGTACCATTGAATAATCAATCCTATGGTTTGAACTGCAATTCCCTATGTGTACAATCAATCTGTGTGATCACTGTTATTCCTTCAGTGTGTTTCAATCTCATTAATTAAAAGTTCATACTGGTCAAAGAATTAAGAATTTATCTTTTCATTTTCTGGAAATATTGCTTCCTCGTACAACTGAATATTATTAACAGTAGCAACATAAGTCGAGTCGATCTGAAGATGTAATTGCGATTTTTGCGCATTCTCGTGCGTTCAAAGTTACAATCTTCTTTTATTATCGATTTTTCGCTGAATGTATCGCACTTGAAATCGAAATCGGTTTCTGGGCTAGGTCACGTGGCAATAAGATCACGTGGCGTTTCTGCATACTCCGTTAGAGGGAAGCACAGGTAATCTCGAGCAAACACGACGGCCAACAATCTTTTCCCGTAAATATATACGTTATTGTCATCGAGGTAAGGTCGATTAACTAAAACTGTGCAACGGCTTCCCAAAACGTAATGCACGCTGCGGCATTAGAGACTCTACCAAGGGTGCGTAAGTGTTATTTGTATGTCATGTGTCGAAGTGACCTACAAGTGAATTTTCGTTTCTGAATTTTCTTTGGCTATGATCCTTTAGTTGGTGAAGTCGGTGGCCTCCGTGAGACAGTAGCGATGCTGTCTCGAAAGTGAGTTCATGGCTGTTTATAGAACGCGGAAGAAAGTAAACGAACCCGTGTAATCTGTTTAAAACGACGATTTTCATAAAATATGAATGTCATTGTGTTTTCTGCAACGGAAACAATTAGGTTACGTTGACAAGAGGAGCGCAGTTCTTTAGAAGTACTGAACTACACGAGCAATTTGCACGGTAGGTTGATCTTTTGTTTATATAAACTAACAATGTACGTGAAAGCGCACACTGTTAGTGTTTCGAATTTAAACATTTGTAAATAATCCTTGCAAAGGTTGAATAAAGTCAAAAAGAAATCTATATGAATCAGTGTAATTATTCACAAAATGTGTTGCAGTTTATTGACAGAAGAATCAAGATGAAATATGATTGCTTGAACATTCATATGATGACGTTAAATAATCACTATGTAGCTCTAACGAATTATCTCGTACAAATTGGGTGTTACATATTTGTACATACAAGCAGTGTATAAAGCAATCTGCTTACATTCGCAAAATGCCACACATAACACGAAAATGGGAACTTTTCCCAGGCAGAAATCGATTTTGTTGTGATGGTAGAGTAATGATGGCACCACAAACTGGAGTATTTTACGTGACTGTGTGCCTCATAGCTGGAACAAGTGGATTATTCTTTGCTTTCGAGTAAGACTTATTTTTTATATAAATCATCATATACACAACTACATAAGGTATAGTTCTAATAGTTTCACGTTTTTTTTTCTAGTTGTCCATTTTTAGCAGTTCATATAACACCAGCTATACCAGTTATTGGTGCTCTGCTATTTATTTTTGTAATGTCTGCTTTGTTCAGAACAAGCTTCAGCGATCCTGGAGTTATTCCAAGAGCAACGCTTGATGAAGCTGCTTATATTGAAAAACAAATTGGTACATGCAAACATACTTTTTAAAAATAAATCTGATTAATTTTACGTTAATATATTACGTTTTAATATATTAAATTTAATATATTAAATATAATAATATAAAAATTATATTCAATTTTATCAATGGATTTTATTTTAATTAAAAAATTTGGTTTTTTACATATTGGTAAAGAGGTACCAAACAATGGTAATTCTAAAATGTATAGACCCCCACCTCGAACAAAAGAGGTATTAGTCAAAGGACAGCCAGTGAAGTTAAAATACTGTTTTACTTGTAAAATATTTAGACCGCCAAGAGCTTCACATTGTAGCTTATGTGATAATTGTGTAGGTATGTATATTTTTCGTTTCTTTACGACTGATTTTGTAGTTGAAAATTATTTTTGTAACAATTTAGATATAATTAGTATATAATATATTTCTAGAGAGATTTGATCATCATTGCCCATGGGTGGGTAATTGTGTTGGCAGAAGAAATTACAGATATTTTTATGCCTTTATTGTGTCCTTGGCATTTCTTTGCGTTTTTATATTTGCATGCGCTGTTACACACTTAATAATGCGTAAGTACGTTAAAAGAATGAATAGTAAAATAATTAGATTAGAAGTGTTAAAATTTGTCATTTATTTAATTATAGTTACAAGAGATGAAAAGCCATTTTTAGAAGCAGTAAGGATATCTCCTGGAAGTGTTGTTGTAGCAGTTATATGCTTTTTTTCTGTTTGGAGTATTCTTGGTCTTGCTGGTTTTCATACATATTTAACTACTAGCAATCAGACAACTAACGAGGATGTAAATATTATTTTTAACCTATACCTACTACAATTATCAAATAATAATTATTACATAATTTTAAAATAATTTAAATCATTTTTATAGATTAAGGGATCATTTTCCATTAAAACAGGACAAGAAAGTTTTAATCTGTATAGCCAAGGAAATATATGTGGAAACTGTTTCTATGTATTATGTGGACCAGCACCACCTAGTTTAATCGGTAACTCTCTTTTAAATTCTTGGATTTAATTAAATTATTTTCATAGTTTAATTTTTGGAGATATTGTCTCACTATTGATTATTATATCGATTGTTATAGATCGAAGAGGTATAGTAACACCTGAATATCGTGCAGAACAAGAAAGAGTTGGCGGTGACAGTGTAATTACTAATAATAAAACGTATGGTACAGTGAAAATCGTACAACCACAGGTATTGAAGTCTACATCAATTTCCTTATATTCTATATACGTTATTATTTATATATTATTTTTTCTGTTCTTATAATTGCAGTCTAATGGTACAACCGTTCAAGCAAATCCCAGCCCCGATCTCACAGGTTCCATGAATAATCTCGTTTCTGGGCAACATTCACCACAAATTGAATCGATAAACGGTGAGTTAAGCCTTCTAAGGCATACTGCGCATTATCCCGAGGATCTTCCAAAATATCCGCGTCACTATATTAATGATATCTATGCTCAGGCATATGCGCGGCAACATTGTTTTCAGGAACCTATGAAACATGTAAAGTATGATACAGAAATAGCAAATCCAGATTTTCAAAAATATCCGTGTAGGTGTGAAGAAAATTTACATAAATATTCTCATAGGTGTAGAGAAGAGTATCATAGATGCTCAGATAATAATTTAATATACGACCAGTGTGTCGGCGATCAAAAATATGGTATTGATCTTCAAAAATATCCACAAAGATATTCTGAGGATCCTATACGATATAAAATTGATGATAAAGCCGTTTATACTGATCTCCAAAAATTTCCACAATGCTATTCTGAAGATCCATTACGAATTTCTCAATCTCAACATACCCTTAAGTATAATAACCTGAGATGCACTGTTCACGGTTTAAAATATCCAATATCAAAGAATCTCTTGCCGACTGTTGTAATGTCACGTATATTAGGGACAGAAGGAATGCCAATTATTGGTCAAAATGCAATAGGACTTGCAGTTAACAGATTTGGTTCAGGACCTTTAACTAATGCTTTTTCTTATGCAGACAATACTTTATGTCCAAATGATAATACTGAAGAAGATTTTTTAAATCGGAGATTTATTATGAGCTCAATAAGCGATAATGATGATATTTAATTTTTCTTATAAAATAATTCTTTTCTTTTACTTTTGAAAATAATATTGTTCCATCTATTGAAAAAATTTAACGGCTATAACACACTTGTCAAAAAATTTTGTTAGTGTTAGAATCAAAATAGTAATATAAATTTTAATGTTCTATCCCTTTACTATTAGCAGATGCTTATAAACAAAATTTTAAACAAAATTTAATAAATGTGTATATAAATATTAGTGAAAGTAATAATATATAAAATGATATTATGAATATTAACAAAAAAGTCATTATTACAATGATTGTTCATGTTTTAGTACAGCTTATATAGATCTTTATAAACATTCAAGTTGAATTTTATTGTTATCAATAGAGATTTATTTATTTTTCGATTGTTCAATTTGGTATTGAATATATAGATATTTTTTTTAATAAAAGAGAAAGAAGAAATTAACACTGTTGTTATAATGTTATATATCTTGATTGAGAATGGAACTGAGATATTAGTTTCATTATGATTTTTAATATTTCATTATGTTGTACTTCTTAAAAATACGCAGATAATTAAAGTATTTGGTTTTACATTATGTAGTATAACAAATTGAAATATTTAATTGACATATTTAATTCAAGCTTATTTTGCAATGTTAATCTTTAACATTAAAAAGAAATTAATTTAAACATATAGATTTGAATCATCATCAAGTGTATAAAGTAACTAAATTTTTTACTATTTAGCCGTACTTTTACACGATTCAATAAATTATATTTCTTTGTTGTTTAAAAATTACGTCCTGTTATCGAGGGCTCAGAGCATACCGTTTGGTAAGTTAATTTTGCTTTATTCCACTTGTCATTGTGTGTATGTTTAATACAAATGAACAGATATTTATTAATAGTTGTTTATTAATAAACACTTTAAACACAGTGTCCCACATTTTTGGAGACTAATTTGAAAAATGTTATATCAATATGGTTTATGGATTGTGACTAATTAGTTAGTTCTTATTGCGGGAATTGGTTTGTGAAAATACAATATGTATATAAATATATGTATAAATATAAAATACGCACACAGTTTCACATATGTAAGGGATATTTTATAGATTTATGTTCACATGTGTAATGTTAAAATTATTATATATTATACAACAATAATCATGTAAGTTGTTTATTACTATGACTTTTGGTTTTAGTTAAACATATGTACACATAAAAAAATATTAATATTCGTCACCTTTATTGCCTGGAATATTTTCTTTATTGCAATTTAGTTTTTATTTAATTTTTATTTCATTTATTTATGCGACAAAATTACACAGTCAGTACTGCACTTCTGCAATGAGCTACGTTATATAATTTTTGTTGCTAATAAGCGTTTATAACGGCTTATCATTGGACTTCAATGGCAATTATTGGAACTCTAATATTTTTTATATATTATTTATGACTTGTATATATGGTTAAATCTTTTAATACACACTTTTATTGTTATTGACATTTGTTTTTAGGTAGTACCACAAACAGCGTGAGTCAACTTGTTACCAATGAAGTACCATTAGCATCACTTAATATAGCTCCAATTGATATCGATGAAATTGCTCCGTTGCCTTCCCGTCAAAGTGTTGTGGTTTCATCCACGTTAGATACGTCCTCTATACCTTCGGTAACTGTAACAACACCTTTGTCTGCATCTAGACTTAGATTGTTACAAGATACTACCATGATAGAGTCTGCTTTAGACTTAGATTCGTTGGAAGATGCAAGTGTTGGTAGAGGCAGTCAAGCAGGACTTATAAAAATGGGAGCAGTCTAAATCTATCTTTATCTAGCTAAATCTACTTAGATTATAGATTAAGTTTTTATCTAGTTAGATTATAGCTTTTAAAGTCCTCTACGCTTACCAAAGAATAGTGCAGTTCGAATTCCATTTCTTTCTCACTGTATTCTTTATATACTTTTATAAAAATTTAATAATACTGTATACTTATGACATATAGATACACAAAGCTTATGCATGGGTAAAAGAGTGAAATTATTATTAGGTTCAGTTACAATTTGGTTAAATTTTAATTAATTTAATAAAAGTTGAGTGTGGTAATGTAACATATTTTTATTTTTGATCTGCACTATTCATTCATTATATTTAGCATTGTTAATTCCATTCCAGCCATTCACATCTTTCTTTTTTCATTATATAAAGTTAATAAATGAAAATATTCTCTATTACATAATAGTTATGTATAAAAGAACAGATTATAAAAATGTGGTGATTTAACATATTATGATATTCTTACTATTATATATAAACAGATGATATGTGGGTTAAGGAAAATGTATTACTTAATCATCTTTTAACATAAATTTATATACATATTTTTATGTTAATATAAACTCTAATTTCTTATTTTTATCATGCAATGTATTAGAATAATAGATTTCACTTCTAACTGGAATAATATCTATATTTTAAAGACTTTATCAAATAAAGATTTTTCATTAAATATTGAATTGAAAATACGAAGAAAAAGTGTGGTAGTTAATGTATATGCAAATTATAATAGAACTATTAAAAAAGAAAATTTAGAAACTATAATTCTTTATTTTATTACTAATTGCTACTAGTATAAAATATTTAATTTTACTTTTCTACATTGGTGAACAAGTATTGTCTTGTGTAGTCAATTTGCTATGTACAGTGTAAAGAGACTTTTGTAAATACAAGAATTTTCATAAACGTTAGTATAGTTTTGCAGGCATTTGAACAATTTGTTATAAGGCAATGTGAATTGAATCAAGCATTTTCAAAATAGAAGTATCACTGCCTAGTTTATAAATAACTTATGCATCAACATTGCATGTCATTATTTAATTTGGTATAATCATAAAATAAACATTATTTATATGGTGAATTAATGAAAAAAGAAACGATTTTACTAGTTGTCATTTTATCTTATAAGGATTGCCATTATATTGATTTTGAGAATATTTTTTTGTACATATTTTGCGTGTATAATATTATATGTATATATTGTGTAGATGTTATCATGATAAGATAATATACCATAAGTTAAAAATATACTATGTTATAATATATTTAAACCTATTTCAAAAATTCTTTAAGAGGTATAATTAAGATGATGATGATAATGACGCACGTAACTTCTCGAAATGCAGAAATTAAGTACTACAATTCATAGCAAAAAGTATTTTTATTCAATTGTCTTGCATCAATTGTATGCTTTTACAAAAATATTTAATTATGACATAAAATATTGGAATAAAATTATTGATACGATGTTATTTTTTGTGGATATCTTCAACGTTATATATGATTTATAATATAGGTTAATAATTTAATACTTTTACACAGTAATTTACAAATATCGCGATCTGTCGAAATCTTTGTATACATAAATATATTATCATCGTGTTAAAACAAATGTTTTTAATTATTATCGTCATCTTTCGTGCGCTGCGCGCTCCTAAATCTTGCTGACTTGTGCTAAAATGTACAGATTTTATACTTTACATATTATAATAAAATATACATTCGTTTTTTTTTACGTATAAACATTAATAAAGCTTTTGTATTATAATAGCAAGAATCACAATTAAAATTGCAACACTGAAACTTGCAATATATATTTTTGTTTGATGATTTCCAGATGAATCTATATTAAGATCAATAGTTTTCACATCAATTTTATTTTGAGAATAAAATTCTGAAGGATCTGTTTAAAAAAAATTTTATGATATGCATATATACAAACATATTATATATTATATAATTTTTTTTTTTTATAAATGTATAATACTTACCAGCTTCAAGTTCAATGTCTTTCTGAACATTATTTTCTTGAACCTCTAAGTCTAAAAGCTCTTGCAATGATAAAAGAGCTTCTTGAGGTCCTTCACCAGGAAATAGATAATCTGACAATGTTACTTTACTTTCTGGTAACGCTATTAATACTCTTCTTGGAGGTTCGTGTAACGTTATATTTTCTGAGAGAAAATAATGAAATAAACAATTTTTTGGAAATTTAATTTAATAATTTCTACATGTTGAAATAAATACCTTCTGGAGATCCATTTTCTTCTTCAATTAAACTATCCCAATGCATTTCTAATCTACTTGCTAATGACCTTATTATGTCTTGCTTTATTGCGATATTAGCTTCTTCAACATTTGCTTTTTGATGAACGAAAGTTCTACTTACTAATTGTCCAACTAAACGTATAGATGCACTGCACGGTGTTATTTTTACATCCGAGTTTATATTCTTCTCCTCCTAATAATTTACAAAATAATCTGATTCATTGAACCACTTATAATTTTAAGGAATTTAACAAATACTTACACACGGAATGTATAAGTTAATTTGAATGGACTGGTCATTATTGTTTTTTTCATTATTTTTAGAATTCTTTTCATCTTTCTTGCTTTTACTAATTAATTCTAATGTCTCATCCGGAGATCGAACTTCTCCTTCAATAACAATAAGGGAAGATTCAATAATATCCGATACACTCTTCAAAATATCTTGCAATTGTTTTTTAAGAGTTTCTGGGTCTTTATCAGCAGCAATCAGAAACAGACGATCGAAATCTACAAGGGCTTCAAGTTGATGCCATTTGGTTGCTTTAGTTTGAAATTTCCAGTCTGCTGGTTTTAATATTCCGTTCGTATGGATTTCTACAGATTTACAAGTGTATCTAGAAAAATCGTAGAGAATCAAATAGTAGAGATAAAAGGTATTTAAGATGAAGTACATTATAATATATTATACTTTTGTGTAACACTATTTAAATTTAAAATAAGATGCTCTTCATTATTATCTCCACATAAGTATTTATTATATGACAAATTCTTTTGCATTGTTGCAAGAACAGATCTCAACTTTTGAACATTGCTATTATTATTTGTAACATCTTCCGGAGCAACAATGAATGTTCCGAGAACACGCATTCCACCAGGCAACATTCTAGTGACCTGCAAACATTAAAAACTCTACAGTCATTGGAGCTGCAAATTTTAATGATGTTTCTTTAACATATCTAGTAAGTAAAGTAAAATGAATGTATTAACATGTTTAGCGTGATCTGCAACCCAGCTCTCAGGTATATCTTTTACTGCTCTAATATGATTTTCGGCAGTGGTATTTTGTTCAGCTTCTGTTGTAGAGCTAAGCAATGTCTCCTCCACCACATTTTTGCCAAGAGGTGGTGGTGTTTTTGCTAAATGCACGATATAGTCTTTTTGACCGACACTCTGCAATGTTAATTACAATACAATTCAAATTAGATGACACAATTAGATGACACATCGCTAAAACATTGATAATCAGAACATCCTAACCTTTCGTCTAACGCAACAATTCCAAAAAGAGTATAAATTAAATTAAATTGCGTGTATCACGACAGAGATTCTATCTAGAAATTTATGATTTTCATTCATTGAAATAATTTCCCTGGGCGCGTCAAGAATTACATATGTTAGAACGAATGAATACAAGGAAAGATGACGTGAATTGGAACATACAAAACTCGAACCTGTCCCACAATTAGTCCTATCGTATATTCATCTGGTTTCGCCAGTGACGTCAAATAATTATGAAGACGTTCCTCCGCGTATACGATTCGTCCCATTGCTTTTGACGTTTCTACAAACACGTAAAAATATATCGCAACTTTCCACGATATGTGCTTGCACTGTATATCATATACATATTGTGCTTGTATCGTATATGTATATAGTGTACCAGCTGAACACTTGTTACGAGTTGCGAGAGAGTGTTTCGATCTATTACGAAGAATTCGTAAGAATTCGTAAGTGTTCGTGCATCTTGCAGATCGAAAGAGATGTAGAAAGGAAGCCTAGGGTATAATAAGAATTATGCAATTGTAAAAGTTCGCAGACTGATCTTTTTAATTAGTTTTTTCTGCAAATGAAGATTCGATCGATTTGTGGACATTGAAATGCTAGCGCCGCGTAGCGGAGAAACGGTTCGCTATTGTTATCCTTATCGCTGCCCTCTTCGTCTACTACGCTGTGTATCTGTCCTTGTCGCATATTGTTGCGTTCTTTGTCTACGACAGAGATGGTGCTGCCATCCATTGAATTTTTTCACCGTTACTTTTTTAGTTCCAGTTGAAATTGATAGTTGATAGATGATAGCATCATGCGTAGACAAAAAGCGCGATTGTGTGCGACAAAGAGAGACATACGCCACGTGATAGATAAAGAGACTAACAAAGCGCGACAAGAATAACAATAGGGATTAGTTCCACTGTTTTTTCGCTACGCGGCGCTAGCATTTCAATGTCCACAAATCGAATCTTCATTTGTAGAAAAAACTAATTAAAAAGATCAATCTGCGAACTTTTACAATTGCATAATTCTTATTATATCCTAGGCTTCCTTTCTGCATCTCTTTTAATATCTAAGATGTAAAATAAAAATTCTTACAAATTCTTCGCAATAGATTGAAGTTTGCGCGCCAAGAGTGATTATTTTTAAATATTTTAAAAACTTTTTCAGATGTTATCTTAAGTTATCTCTTCTGTCTGCCGTTATATTTTTAACAAGTTTGCTTTACTTTTCGATCTAAAATAATGTTAACGTAATTAGCTGAATTATTAATGATGAATTATTCATATGAAAGGAAATTGTAAATTAGACTTTTCAAACGTTTTACTTTATTCTCAGTTATCCTTGTTTTATGTATAACTAGGTACATGGACGTAAATCACAGCACAACTCAAGGTTGTATAAATACTTATACATTCGTACAGGGGAGTTATATATATCGTAATTACGCAACATGTTAGAAGCAACCGAAGTTCTAACAAAATATGATGTTAAACGATCGGAGATCGAAATTCAGATCATTAAAAGTTTAGCATGGTCGATTTGAAAATGTCAATAGTTTAGTACTCCATGTAGAATTACAGTTATTATACAGTATAATTCGCGTTGAAAGAACACTTTCGTACATAGTCGAATGATTGTTGAGATACTTAAATGAACTTTCGTACCAGAAGGAAAAAAATTTCGATAGACGTACGCGAATGTTTCAAGTAACAATTGCTAGTACAATAATTTTACATTTAAGTGGCGAGTATTATTCGAATATCCAGAAGATGTACAGTTTTCACTCTTGTCAATTTTGCTCCGCGTGCTCGATTGTTCATTGAAGAATTAGGCATTTCTTTGTTAAGCTCAGTAAGGAGTAAAACAGCGCAACAAGAACGTTCACAAAATAATACGTAGATTTGCGTGTACCGTATGTACAAAAACTTGTATATGAAATCTTTCCTAAAGATCATAAAAAATATGTCAGAAAAAAGAGATTCTTTTTTTTTCTTTTCGAGGAATACGATTCATGGGAGCGACGTTTATAATTATAATTGTCACGCGTCTTCTTCGTGCTTAGCTTTTTTCAGTCCATATGTGCTCGTGATATTTTAACGTCGAGAGACATCCTGCTGCGTAATCGTTTGCTGATTATTCGATCTCGAAACGAATTTACAAAAATTGTTAGATCATCTCGATGCGAACGGTAGAAATAACGATTTTTCGAACATTGGCACTAGATAACTTTGCTAAAACAATGATCGAAGGGAGAGCAATCTAAGTTTAAGTTTCGAGTTCAATATGCCGAAGCGAGGATTTTCAATTCCTGTGCTCGGGAAGAAGTGCTCTAGTATCGTGTTTTAATCAAATGTACGATGAAACACTATTTAACTCGCTAGCGGCCTAGTAACGATCAGTATACTATTGTTAAACTATTGTTAAACGCGCTTTCTCTACAGTTCGCCACTAATTAGTGGTAGTCGCCGAGATACATGTAGTAAACATCTATGTTGCAGTATAATAATTGTAGAACATGAAAATATACAGTGGTCCATGAAAGTATCTCAACAACAATTCGATAGGAATACTTTTTACGAATGTACCACGTCAATCGCACGAAACATTTTGAAGTTTCGTTAACAATGTTACGAGACTCGGCTACTATAATTACGTCTATCACAATTAACTTAGAATCAGTTTGAGAATACAAGGCTACAAGAACTAAAAGTGTTCGAATATTTTCGTGAACCACCGTAGTTATAGTTTCTAGCACGGAATTTTGAAACGCGTGCTTCTTAATTGTATTTTAAGATCTTTCGCTAGTTTGAGATAAAGTAAAGAATCACAACTCGAGATGGTTTTGTTGAAAAATAAAAAATATTTAATACTAGTGTGTGTGTGTGTGTGTGTGTGTAATAACATATACGATAACTTTAAACGAAAGATACCGACACAATTGTCATTGAATACGCACTGGTGAGCTATTTGAGCGGACGGATAAGGGATTCTTTTTTTTTTTTTTAGGAAAGCGAGAGAAAGTTTTTTTAAAGAGTTTCCTAGAAATAGTAATCTATGTTATAGTAATCCTATGTAAGATACTTTCGTGAACGATACTTTAAAGCGTAACGGTAGTAACAACAGTGTTGACCGTACAATATTTTTTAGCTTTATATAATATTACATGCCGAAGATGTATTTGTACCGGTGCGCAAAGACCCTCGACTTTTGATTGTGTTACCACTACTTTAGTAAGAATAAAAGATTTAGCGAAGTAAGTGTCGAATGTTAAAATCCTACTATGAATGACGACGAAGCGAGTCTGTCAAATCCGCAATCTTGCAAGCAATCTTACGCGCGAATCGAGGTATTTTCCGATAAGAAGTCCTTGAATAAAAATGAAACTTTTGCTACATTTCCAATAAAATGATACTTAATCAGAAAGAATATGAAACAGCAGAATTGAAAACGATCAATTCCATTAATAGTATACTATCGGATAAGTACATTGTCTCTTTCTTCGAGCAGCGAGTGAAAAAAGTGAATTGAAACGAAGCTTAAGTACGCTGTACCACGTCCATTGCAATAAAATTTCATTCGTTGATTAAGTTAAAAAAAATGAGAGAAATGCATATTTACATTAACAACATTTGCTGTAGATATATCCTCTTGTAGAAAAAATAACGTTACACGGCGACGGAAAAGTCAGTTTCTAAATTAAAAGTCTTTGAGCTTTGATCGTCGAGTGTTCTCTTAAACAGTACTTGTGCGAACAATCGTAAGTGAATTACAATTAAAAATATCAACTTATCGCAAAGGTATAATACGTATATACAGGGCAATTCCTTAGAAGTGGGAATTTAATAACCCCCTTAGTCATGAAACTATAGCAAATTCAAGATTAAGAGTCCAATTTCAGATTACATTTGAATTAAATATTTATCATGAAGTTGTATACAGCCGAGGAGAGAAAATGAGACAAACATCTCTCTTTCTCTCACCGCAGTCACTACAGCCGGGCATAAAACATTGCACAAAGGAAACCTCATCTCGATATCATTCTAGTTTCTTTAAACGTGTCGATTCTCTTCGAACCAGTTTTGTTAGTCAATGATAATTGTACTAGTAGAAAACTGTTTGATATATACATTTTCTTTCATCGACGTCTTCCAAATGCACATCGGTCAATAATAACATTGAGCGTTGGGCAAATATATACTATACACATACTCGTTGATTAGGAGGGTCGTCGTACGACTTGGAAGACTCCGCCGAGGACTCGAACGTCTGGCAAGCTTTTCCCACGCTAACAAGAAACTTAATCGTTCCATTTCTCGTTACGTTATTTGCTCCTCTTACGTTACAAGCGTGTCATTCGGTAATCTCGCCCTGAGTGCAATTTTGTTCTTCTTTTCCAAGAGATTTCCGTTAACATTTATACATCAAAGGAGAGATCCCTCTCCTTTGAAGCTTGCTCGATCAATAATCTCTCGTCTCTTTGTCCGTCGGAGGAACCGGTTTCTTCGACGTGTCTTTCTGCGGGAAGATTCCCCTCTTAGGAAGAGTCCTTTCCGGACTAGGGCTAGGACTAGGACTAGGCGAGGAACTCGGTGATCTTGAACTACTCGAACTTGACCTCTCCCTCTTCTCTCGTTCGATACGGCTCTTGTGTTCATACAATGGTCCGCGAATGATCTTCAGCGTGGTTTCCAACTCGTAGGCACGGTCCTTCAGGGCGTTGTACTGATTCAGATCGAAGCCAACCTTCTTTGCTCTCTTGTGAAGCGAGATCAGCTGTCGCCTGTTCATCACGTCTGGCAGCATGTATTCCTGTTAATAAATTCGACACAATGAAGTTTATCAGAATATGTATATTTCGGATACTTTTGTACCAGCAGTATCGGTCAGTTGACAAGTTACAAACTGTAGGTCTCAAATAATTTGATAATTTTACACGAAAGAGAAGTGAAGATAAGGTACGCTTCGTCGAGCTCATACTACAAATCACGTCGATGAAGTGTCTCGTTCATGTTTATCGGACAACGAGTTCATTTACTTTTAGCTGTTGATTTAACGATGTTATTAACAACTGACAAACTGAATTGCTATTAGAGTAAACCTGTCTCGTTAAGACGAAGTAGACGAACAAGGCCATCGTGGTGCCGTAGTTGACGAAATATGTAACCGGTTCCATGATGTCCCACGAGTATTCCCACCAAGTTAGTCTGGCTAGGCCGCTGAACTGAATCGACATTAGGACAAGACACACCCAAATGAACATATTCGCCTTCCTTTCCGCGGTGGCGTCTAACTCTAGCAGCTTCTACGACAAATAAAAAAAGAAATTAGTATACATCTTTTTTCAACTTTTCAACAGCTTCGGGGGAGAACTGTTGCGGATTTTCGCCGTGATAATTCATCTAAATCTGGTTGCAATTTGTAGTAAAATTGGTTGCAGAAGGAGGCAGAAAACCAGAAGGAAGAATATATAGTTCTCGGCGAGATCGTCGAATTTCCCTGTTGTTAAAATATCAAAGCTCTTTTCGTTCGTCGAAATTGTAGGAGCACGTTCGAAACGTAAACGTTCGACCAATAAATTTCACACTTTATCATCCGAAAACGAATTTACGAGGAATTTACGATACGAAATTACGATATTTTCAGATTAATATCTGAATTTACGATCAATGTAAATATCGGTATAAATGTTTTAGCTCCAATGTTAAATAATCAGAGTTTAACGCATTTACATGATACGTGATATTCTTACGATACAGATCTTTATTTTCGTTTATCTCTGACGAGGATCGAGGAATTATACTAAAATTATTTCTCGCAGTTTCGAACAATTAAACAAAAACCCAGAAAACGAAGACCAATTTTTCAAATTTAATTTTTCGATCATTTTCATCGAGATTCAAGTTTCCTGCAACCAACATTCATTTTTCCTCGTGGAATAACTTCCTGCAAATAATTTCCTTGCAAATAATTAAATACATTGCGATTATCTAATCGGTGTGTTTGTATCGATTATGAGAACGTTGGTATAATTTTCGTACGAGAGTCAACGATCAAGCAAGAAAACAGAGGGAGAGAGGAGAGATTTAATTACGCGATCGTGCAAGATCGCGCGCACGATGATAATTAAAATGAAAACTACGCCGAGGATGAATCAAATTATCGTGGCGAGGAGAAAACGAATGAGAGAGGAGGTCGAATAATCTTGCACGCGTGCCGAAGCGTCGGAGCGCTAATAACTTTAGACAAGTTCTATAAACTTCCGTTTAATTTAGATTTAGGATCGTGCCCTGCCACGTGCTTCTGTAAGACGCACGTTCATTGTCTTGCGACCGATTAATTCGATTTGATGTTCACGGTGTGAACAGATTCACTCAGCGGAAGTTAAAAATTCGCTCTGAAGCGACAAAGTTGTCTCTATCCACCTTGAGTGATAAATTATGTTAAAAGATCGCAAGGATATTCCAGGTCGATATATACGATCGCTCGTAGCTGAAAATTCAAAGTTTCAAGTTTTTACGAGGATGAACTGTTATCAAATGCTTGCGACCAAAGGATTTGATAAATCCTGTAGCGCGACACACGATGCCAAACGTTTGCATTTGCCGGGAAATTTTTAATTAATTATTGACTTGTATAATTTAGAAAAGATTATATATTGTGGCAAGATTCAAGAGAAAAATTTTTCGTTTTTTGATAAGTGTAATCGTGAACGATTAACAATTGGAATTGAAATCAATTGGAGAATCAAAAGTTAGAGCGAAGCCGCGCTTGCAAAAACAGTTTACCTGTTCGAGAGGTTCCAATTCCAATCTGACAGCCTCCAATTCTGCCAATACTTGCTTTTCCATGGTGGCGTAGTGCTCTCGAACGTGCAATGTCTCGTACAGCTGGCCGATTAACATTTGAACGTCCGACAATGACTCTAAATTCTCCTGCGGGGACAAGAATCGATTCTGTTGAAAATAGATACCTTCGTGAAATTCAATGAAATTATCACTAACAACACTGAACATCTGTAATAAACAGGATCGAGGTCCAGGAGGAACAAATTCTCTGGTAATTATTGCCACATTTCGCTGAATTCCTGTCTAGGACTCACCATCGTGTGCTTGCGGTGCAATGGCGGCGTCACCAAGTACTCCATGTCGTTTATCACCAGTCGAAAGTCGTTCTCCATTAACGACTCGATCGTGTTGTTGGAACCTATCCTGATGCCATCTGGATAAAAAAAAAAAATCATCGTATGGAATTATTGCGCGGCGTAAACAAGTGGATTTTGCACGCAAGAGGTTCGTATTCGCGCGGTCGACATCTTTTTCCGTAAATCCCTCGACAACAACTCACCGGTGGTTGTCACGGTTGCACGATCGATGCCACGATCTTCCTTCTTCAACATTTGAATAAGATCTCCTACCGTGTGCGTGATTGGTTTCAGAGTAAACACGCATTGCTCCTTCCTCGATGGCAGTGGCACCGTGATCCTCGGTAATCCCCGATGATACGACACGACTACATCTGCAGCTGAAACAGCAGTTTCATTTCATTTTTATTTTTTTTTTCTTTCAGTTCTATAGTTTACTTCGAACGCAACAAACGATCTCTGTGCGAGTCTGTCAGCAAGATCGAGCATTTTTTGTGAAAATGGAATTTTTTTTTTTTTTTCAATTAACTCGAACGGGACGAGAAAGAAAGCGTGAACGCGCCTAATTTAGTAGATAAAGATTCCTCGCTTTTTTTTTTTTGTTAAATAAAAATGACGTCGCTGTACAATCGTAAATACAATGATTTTTTTTCAATGATTTGGCTCGATTAACTTTCAAAAGTGGTTCCGTCATTTAACATAATTTTCACAACCAACAACCGTCTGGATTTATAATATATATTAAATTGAATTGATTGAATGAACATTTGCCTCGAGAGCTACATGGAGTTTAATACAACTATGCTATTCGTGAACAGAATTACAAAGCGATATCTAAAGTGTAACTTGTATATTACAATTCGTAAATTATAATATATAACATATTAGTATAAACTTTCGAAGATGCAAAAATCAGATGCAATTTAAAAATTGAAAATTAAGAGAGAATATCG